GCATCTGGACATGTTCTTGGGTATTGATTTTGTTGAATTTTTGGGAAACAAATTCACCACCTCGATCACATTTAAGTTCGCGTAGTTTAGCGAGGTAGTCTTTGCCAACCTCTGTATATAATTGGTCAAGTACACCGGTGGCGTCATCTTTGTGTTTAAAGTTATAGTCCAACATGTAGCCGCTGTTGGCATCCACAAATTTGATATCACAGATGTAGCCGCTAGGGGTGGTGGTTAGTCCGGTGTGGAGACCTACATAGAAGACCGTACCTACAAGTGGGAGTGTGTCATCGTCCATGCTGGTGTGCCGGACTGGTCGTCATCGCATTTTTCCTTCTACACAAGGAGTGCAAAATTGAAGTTTGATAGGGTGGGCAACAGTATCCGCTTCGGCAGTAAGTAGTACAGCCGTGGGCGGTACAGCATGCTTCACGTGTCCAATGCTTGATACTATCCCTATGCATATGTAACGCCATTTGGGTAGTCCTACGACATCGTGACCGTTCTCGAGGAATGTATTCTCAGTTGTGCGTATGATCTTCACATGGGAGTGTAGTTGGCGAAGGGTTTGGTTATAATTGCTAGTATTAGGTATGAGTGGGAAGACCATGATGATGAGTCCATCCTCAGTGTCGCACTTGATTAGTGTATCACGCCACGATTTGCGCCGAAAGGATATGTTGCCATATAGATGTTTTGTCGGTTGATGCCAGTATTGTTGGGAGGCGTCGTTGAGGGGTGCATTGTTGTTGAGGCTGCAATACATTGGCACTTGCGCGTTTTCTGCAGTTGCGAACATGTCGATGTCGACATTGTCGAAGACTTCAGTGACATGGCGTTTGAAGATGTCCGGATGAAGCATCCACTCATCATGAGAATGCTTGGGTTTGGCAGTTGGGGTAACATTGTTGTAAAATGTCGTTGCCGTACTCTTACCACTATGTCCTAGTCTGTCATGCCACTGCTCAGCTGTATTAGTGCTGAGTTGTGCTAATGTATGCTGGCCGTGTGTATGAGGTATAATGTGGAGTATAGTGTTATCTTTATGTGACGTAAGAGTTGCACTGAGAGTATATTTTGTGCTGCTGTGGGCATGATAAGAACAGTTCCAAGTCCTGGGAGTGTGCCCCGTTGAGTCAGGATGATTTGACTTTTATCGGTGAATTCTACGATAAAGCGACCTGTTTCTATATCAATAACGCCTTCAGTAGTTGTTCTTATGTGTACCATAGCTCCAGAGTCTATCAGACTGGAGGCTGTGAGATACTTATCTTTTGTGGGCCCGGTAGGGGTATGATTAAGAATATGTAATCTGTAGTAGCATTCAGGGCCTCCATGTGTAAGTGTAG